AGCACGGATGTGGGGGCGGGGGAGGGGCTGTTCCGGCGTGACTGACCGCGAAGCCTCAAGCGGGGTATGGGGCTTCCTCCACCCCCAGTTAAATGTGAAAATTTTGAAGTCGATTACTTTGCATCTGAAACCATGTCTGAAGGAAATATATAGGCTCTCTCCTAGACTCCCTCCTGGGTCTCTCTTGTATTGGCTCCACATGAAGGGGTGAGGGGGTCCTTGGTCCTGACCCACTGGACACGCGCCTGGTTATAGCAGTGACTACTTTCTGGCATTGTAGGCTGTCTGCCGTACATGTTATACCACTTACACACCCTAATGTACCGTTTCCAGAGGCGTATGCAACAGTTCAGATGTTACCTCTCCCTCTATATGCCCACAAACTTACTCCTTATAATGTACCAATAATACATTACGTTTTTAAGTAGATTTCAGGACCATTTATTCAAAAAACGCTGTCGCCGAATAAAGTGGCAATAAAATTGTTGCACGCAGCTGTGGGCATTTACATTTTCACTCTGTTCACAGTCGTGCTACTAATAATCACCGACAAGGAATTATGTGTTATAGATATGCACATTCTACAAATTATATCCAAAATTTAAATGATTTCATAAACAATTGACAAAATTGCATATCTGTAACAGGTCACTTTTTGTGATACTTTCGGCACTATTGACAAAATCGCTATTGTCGGGGATTATTAGGACCCTGTTTACATAGCTACCTTTTGACAAGGTGGTAATAACGTGACTTGGACATTAGGGTATTACCATGATGTTTTTAAAGTGAATTCCACTGGTACTGCGAAGCTCCTATGCGGCTTTGTGTCACGCTGACTGGTCACATAGAAGGACCAAAGGTTACCATGATATTGGGATAAAATTGACGCAATAACAAAAGGTAGATATTGTTGAAATGAAATTAAGAACACCAGCTGGCTTATGATGATATGGCTTCTGACCTTAGGGAGGCGGCATTTAAGTTGTCAGGTGTTTTGCATATTCAAGATGCTGGGTGTTAAAGAGCTGGGTGTTTTTGCTATAATAGTTCAAAAATAGATAATGAAAAATTAATATATTGAACATTTCATTCAAATTACTTTATTCTGGGCCAAGTTATGACTGAAGATGTAGATCATTTATTATCGTAGCAACGGTACTTGACAAACGAGACTAAGCCTTTTGTCGATAGATTTTTAAATCTCGCTGGTATTCAAATCCATTTTAATCTCGTCCACCCGATGGTCTGAATAAATGCCTAAACAATAATTTACATAACATTTGAAGCCATTCAATTGGCAGATTTAGCTCTTACACAATGTATATTATGTAAGAATTGTTAAAATCAGGTTATTGATAATGATATTTTATTCTTAAAGGCCAAACATAATTTATGTGGACATTTCTAGTAAGACATGTTGTTTCGGTTTTTTTTCGGAACAAGACTTATTTTTCCTTGGAGAACATCTTGTCTAAGTAAAAGCCATCACCCCGGTCCTTTTCTGTAAGCAGTTTTGTACTTCATGTTGTGTACCCCGATGAAACACATCTGATATAATAATATTGTTCAAATTCGATGTATATAATACATTGTTCGATTTAGGAACAAGAAAAAACAGTATTTTTAAAGCGTATGCAAAATGAAATTCGAAGCAGATAGTCGAAGTATAGAAGCTGGAAACAATCTGAAGCAAAATTTTAAGATCCGTAGCGAGAGTTTCTAGAACTGAGTTTCCCGACCTAACTTAACCACTTAATCGTAGTGCGGGATTTGAAATCGTGTTTCTTTGTTTGCATTATACGTTGAAATAACGGATATTGAATACCTACCAAGATTAATCGCACACATAGAAAAGAGATTACATGTAGGCTATTAGAAATAGTTACACGTAATGTTCATATAAAACGCGGTCAAAAAAATACAAACATATAGACTATAGGGGATTTTTGTTATTCCAAGAAGCAATTGCAGATCTGAGGTAGAAATGCCTAGCTTTTTGAAAATGACTTGATAAATCAACATAGAAGTCAAAATTGAAACTGAAATTAGAAAAACTGAAAGAACCTTTTTACAAATTAGAGCTTGCCACAATACTAATTGTAATATCACATGAGATCAACACGAATTCAATGCTTTATTTGGACGTAAATCAAAGAGGTTTAACGTCAGTAATGTGAAATTGAAAGAAGCCATTTCTTGAATCCTTCTTTAGGCAGAGTTCACATATGGGAGGATTTGTTTTTTAATCTTTGTCATGGAATAAATGTGCTGACGTTCTTTTTGATAGTGTTTGGATTATTTATGATTTTGAATCGCAACATTCTGCTTGAAAATAGTGTTGAATTATTATAGATTTCTGCCAGATACGGCGAGAAATAGTTCCTGTTGGCAAACAAAGAAGAATCACAGTGAGAAATCCAAAATAGCCATAGTAACGGGTGGGGGGTTGGGGGTTGTAGAGCGTCATTTTCATATTGCAGCTTAATAGGGACAAACAGGAACTGTGGGAGGACATCGCACGACCAGATGCCGTTCCTAAAAGCACTACCAACCAGCCTGTTACGTCATCAACATAAAATGCATTTTTATACGCCCACATTGACGCCCCGCTCCCCTTTCCGTCCGGACGTCCACAATTTGTTTATGGACACTCTACAGGTCACAATTTTTATCCCATTTTGACAAAACTTGAAATATGGTTCTGGCATGTATCGGACCATAACTTCATGGATTATGGCCCCTGATTGTACGAAAAATCACATTTTTAGAGCTTGTAGTCCCACTGCGGTCACAATTGTTATCCGATTTAAGAAATGGTTACAATATATATCATCTGATATTGATGAAACTTGAAATGCATGTGTATAATCTAACGATATTGGTTCTTTTCGATATTCGCTTGTATCGGATCTTAACTTCCTGGATAATGGCCTCTGATTGAACGAAAAGTCACGTTTTTAGCGCGTGAACTCACTAGAGGTCACAATTTTTATCCGATTTAAAAAAAAAGGTTTAAATTTATCACCGATACACCCTAATGACGGTTGAGTTCGAATTTCGTGAAAATCGGGTGGAAACTACTGACACAGATGGCAGCTCCTTGTACGCAAATAATGTAAAAGTATGTCATACCAATGTTGTGGACCCTCTAAGAGTCTCATTTTTTTTCAGATTTTGATGAAACTTGCAATACATGTTTATATTCCAAAGATCCCGGTTACTTTCGGCATTTGCGCATATCAGACCGTAACTTCCTGGATTATGGTCTCCGATACGAAAAATCGCGATTTTAGCTAGTGGACCCTCTATAGGTCACAATTTTTATCCGATTTTAAAAACCGTTTAAATATAACACCGTTACACCATACTTATGGTTGAGTTCGAATTTCGTAAAAATCGGATCGAAATTACCCGACAAAATGGCCGCTTCTTGTACGCAAATAGTGCAAAAGTATTAATACCAAGGTTGTGAACCCTCTAGAAGTCACAATTTCTATTAAAATATGTTTATATCCCGAAGATCTAGGTTCCTGTAGATATTCGAGCATATCGGACCGTAACTTCCTAGATTCTGGCCCCTGATTGTACTAAAAATCGCTTCTTTTTGTAGCTTGTTCTTTGTCCATCTTTTACAAAATGTGTGCGTATCTTACATGGCAACCGCTTGTAAACCATTAATCTTATTTTAAACAATTTAATTGCTATATCAGATAGAGGGTGGGGGATGGGGTTTAGCGCCCACTCAACATAAACTAGTGACTAACACATGGTTCAATTTTATTTCAATAATTCGCCTCCGCGTATGGATCTTTAGAATGCAGTGGGGGGACCTGGAGAAAACCCATGAGGTAGGACAGGTTACCCTATTCCTTGTTACGAACAAGTTTGGAATTAAAACCACGCCAATTGACTCAATGACAGACCTCGTGAACGTGATCTTACGTGCACGCGTTAAACCATTCTGCCTCCAAACTCCCCTTGCTATATCAGTAATAGTCTGTCACCGTTTTAAGTTGGTTAGTTCTGGTACTCAAAATATAAATCGCCTTTGGTTTACGCACCCCAATATGAAGAATGCTTTAAACCAAGATCTCTTGGGGCCTCAGTGAGTAAGGCGTTGGCTCGGTAATCTGGAGGTCCTGGATTCGGTACCCGGCCGTAGTTGGCTGGATTTTCCGGTGTGTTCAGTGATGTAGGACAGTGGGCACAGTAAGGAACAGGGTCTGGTCGATCGAATGGGACGAAAAACCGATGCCCCGTGTACACATTGGCGTGCATGGGGTATGCACGACTTCATTATTAGCCTGGATGGAGCAGAAAAGTAGGGCGTTAAACCCTTACTTCGTCTTCGCGCCATGCCAGAGCAAATTTGACAGAAATCGGGGAGTGGTTTATATCTTGACAGCTACGTGTCAATACCACGTGCTATACTTCGAAACGAGCCAATCAAACACCATAGCCTATATATGTGTATTAAGGGGTAATGTGGGTAATCAAGGGAGAGATTCCAAATTATATCAATATTAAACTGGCCTACATTTTATATTCTTTTGCATTAAAATATAAATATATTTCAAGATAGCAGTTCTTATTTGTAATCCTTGTGCGTGTCATAAGATGTATTCAGCTGCAGATTTAAGCATTTACTGATCATAGTATATATTTTGATTTTTACAATCAGAGATTAGCTCGAATTGGAGTATTGGGTTTGTTTTAAAATATCTATATTTGCACAATACACAATGCTATTTCTGAGATTAGTTCTATTTATGTGATCGGTGCGGAATTATCGAGAATGTAAACAAAGTCACGTTACTTTGAGTGGCGGTAATTCATGCACAAAATGTGTGGTTTATTTGTGTGGTTTGTACAAAACCATACCTTCAACAAAACTATTGGTCGAATTCTGTGCATAAGTTATTAACCCACGTGGTCTACAAACCGAAGAGAATATGGCGTCCCTCGTTGATAGGGCCAATCATTCGTTTCCATATATGGAAAGTTATATTTGCTTTCTGCCATTGTTACTTGAATCTAATACGGTGCTTTAGATTATGTTGATGCGTGTGGTATTTTAACGGCCTGTTCACACGGAGTTTTTTCTTGCCTTTTGATATGGAGACAATTTGTGTAGAATAGCAGGGCGATATACCCCCTTGTGATATACAAGTTCATCTACATACACAATTGTTGCATTCTTTGCCTGTATCGTTAGCCGTCGTGAAAGAAGCGATGTGTTGTGCTAATTCTGTGAATTATCGTTAAATGAAGGATACCATCAAGACACGTTCTCTACTCGGTGTATTATAGTTCACTGGATTATCGAACGCCAGAAAAAACGACCGACATTTCTTCTGTTGATGGTGTTGTTTTTTTGTGTTTTATCGTGACTGAATGGCTGTTATGGATTAACATACGGACATATTTTGTTGGATATTTTTACATCATTGGAGGGATTGAGATTAACAAACAAACAATATGTACCCTAATCGGCATGTAAGTCTTTTTGCCATTCTATCTAAGCTGTTTTGATTTGTTAAGTCAACCATTGATGACTTGGTCAGAGGTGTGGTGTTACACCGTTAAATTTTGCGTCCATATAACGGGACTTTGGTTCCAGTTGAGTGATAACCTAGATAAACAGAGGTTATGAATCAGTGCAATACTTCCCCTCTGTAGGTCTAGGTTCAGGGATCACAGCGCTTAAGTTTCATCAAGGATGTAAATCTGCAGTTATTGGTTTTATGTTCTATCTGGGATAAGTCTGGCTCACTCAAGAGGCTGTTTTGCAATGTTTACGTCCAGCCTACATCCCATTCACCTACTAGGTCTAGTTATTATTAGTTCATTTGATTGTGAATAAGGTCAAGTACGAATACAATACTCAATTTAGCAGACAGTTAGTGTGATATAGTGAGTTAAATACAAGTTGAGTACCCAATATTACCTTGCTGTGTTATTACTGGCTGTTTATCTTTATCTATATAGACTGAAAAAATATGGTATAATTATATACTGGTATCATTTTATGTTTACTTAACTCATCTTATCTTTACCTACATATAATCACATTTATACATACATACACGTAGCCAAATAGATAACATAATTACATGCGGGAACATAGCAATTATTAATAGACCAACCTTTAAGTTGGTCAAACTGAGTTGAATCTGTTTTGTATGCTTCACTGCATTTCACACGGCTGTTATTTTTATGTGGAGTTAATTGATACAATCTGCAATGTGGGACAAACTAATTGAAATATTCTAGAACAAACAGGACAAAATAAATATGATGTTCATATAGTTCATGGGATTTTCAAATGAAAAACATTTATTTCTTTAGCTGATATTTGGCAATCATTGATCATCCAGGAAACCTATCATTACTGTGCATTGACAAAAGTCACCACCGCGCAAGTTGGCGCTATGTGCACCCTCATATACCGCCCTGATACCCAGTACGGGTTAAAAGGGAACTAGTTATGTGTCTTCCAGAGGCTGTTAGCAAAAGGAACAACCGGTTCAGGTCATTAAGGACGTCGGGTTTCTATTGACCAAGAGAGACTGGAAGGCAATATGTTTACAGGACAGTTTGCACCAACCACTCTTTCAATGATGGGTTGGTTTCGAACACCTCTTCGTCTTTCCTGGAATTATGGGTTGTGTGGAATTTGTTTATAAGGTCGATTTAATAGCATATTTTGACACGTGTTTACATTTTGCAAAACTAATCTGCCAATAGACTTAATTGAATTAGATGTGATAATTATTGCCTTGGGGTGGTCTTTCAGTGGCTACGAAGATATCTAACTGGTCAACAGTAAATAAAATATACTGGCTTCAACTATCATAGTAGAAATATGAGCTTAGATTTAAAAGAATGTATTATGATAAAATGACTTCTGTTCACCCTTTTCTATAAGCCTTCCCACATTTTAATCTAATGGTAGATTAATTTAGGATCAGTCGAGTCATTTATCAATGTGCAGCCAGGGAAATAATTTGTACTAGTCCATAAATAGACCAATATCCAATAACCGTAAACTAATCTTCAGCATTTCAATCATTTGCTCTTCTATGATAATGGGACATATTTAACGGTTGTGAAATATCATGAGTATATACCTCTAGTAATGAAGTTTACCCTTTGATGGGATAGCTTTCAAATTTAAAACACAAACAACACTGACGGTGACTCGGTTTTGTAGGTTGGTTTATATTGAATAAAATCAAATTGAAAATTCATTAATTCTGCCTCATATAGAGGAAATACCAAGGGATCAATTAATAGACGGGATTATATGGTCCCGGTACATTCAACACAAAACACGGCTCAGCATGCATCATTGACCACCAACTGTTCAGTCTCTGTTTTCCAGAAGTGTCTGGCTTAACGCTCGAACGAGTTGGTTATTGTCAAGCTGGATAATCAGAGCTTACTAATCAATAGGAAACTTGTTGAATCTACCGATCTGTTATTCAATTGTAGCAAGTCATATACATAAATAGAAGGATATTTTCTATGGTTTATTGATTTGAATAAGGTCAACCATATAGACAGAGGTTTTAACATAAACAGGATCTGGTTGTTATTCCAAACACAATTAGTTGTTAGTCACTTAATTGGATTTTTATTGGCTTTCACTTAGTTTATATTTGATCTGAAGCCTACTTTCTGGTGCTTTCATTTACAATTACAAGATTTTCTTCTCGTCGTTTGCCTATACTTGATGTCAAATACCACGTTGTGTCATCACAAATTAAGTTATTTGAATATTAAAGTTGCATGTTTAGTGTTACCAAGGCAACGCCCTGAAATTTGAAATCTTGCACAGTTAAACATGCATTTAATAAGAGGTAAATCCACCTATTGTAGCTCTTTCTTTGGACCTGAAATGTTATATAAACTAATAATTAGACATCTTATCTGTTTGTAACTTTTATAGTGAGAACTGCCCGCTCTTTATCTAATCGTCCATTATGTATCTTTAATTGCCGATCTTTATAGATTGTACAAATCAAATCTGTACAAATTTGTCTGCGATATCACCTCGGTGGAAGCGGACGTAAAATACAACTAACTAACTAACAACAACAACAAATCTGTATCCGATCCCAACTTGGCTGACACGTAAACTCTGCCATTAAGGCGATGGTTCACTAACTGAGGAGGTCTAGGGTTCGATTCCACGGCTCAAGGTCTCTCCTTCCCTTGTCAGTTGGGCAGGACCTGGCAAGAAACAGTGTGTATCATTTCATTTCTGTGACCACAGTGGGGTAATTGATCACTGGTCGTGTTTACCGAAAACACCTCTTCAAAAATTGTTAAACATTCTTTAAATAAAACCCAAGACTCACGAATTAACTCCTTGCTTACTTTGTTAAACATTCTACGTATAGTTTTGGCTATGGATACATGTGGGGAAATCAACATAGTAACCTTGACACACGTTATTTCAATGAAACGTCAACACAGGGTTTGCTGAAGTAGAGAAATCATTCCGTCACAAATTGCCATTGGTCATTAGACTTTTTATCGATCAATCAAATGATTCGTGGCGCAAATAGGGAATCCAAATTACGTGTTTGAGAGCCGATTGTAGACTAGATCATCAAGACGTTCAATTCAAATCAAACCGACGTTTGGGTGACCAAGATAACTCGTTGACCAATCGACAATTCAAATTAAAAGGTAAACAATAGCAATTAACGTTCGTATAAAAAGAATCGTATTAAAGCAGAAAGACGTTTGTGACACCCTGCAAAGACACTGTGCCTTATCCAAATAAGCTGAATCAAGCCTATTTTGTGGCTTCCCTTGGCTAGTTTCTTAGGAACACTTCTCTACGATATCACCCTTGGTGGAAGTGGACGTACGCCGCACTTCCACATCGAAAAATACAAGAGCGCTTTTAATCAAATACCAGAAGTATTGGACACTAAACGTACACAGGTGATAAATTGTATTAACAAGGTTTAGTAAAGATAACGTGAGCCGTGGTGACTCATTGAGTAAGGCGCTGTCTCGATAATGTGGAGGACCTGTGATGACTGAGAAAATTCATTCGGCGATTTTGTCCCGTGTCATCGGTGCAGGATACGAGGGTCTGGCAAGGAATAGCGTCTAGTCGTTCGGAAGGGACAGAAAAATCGAGGTCCCGTGTACACCTTGACGTGCACGTAAAAGGACGCTTGATTAAATTGCTGTTCGTGCCACACTGTCATCATTGCACACTGCATGAAGTGTGTCCGTCTTCATTAGCCCGATTGGGGCAGAAAAGTGGGACGTTAAACGCCATTTCAATGATACATTTCTTAGTAAAGAGAATACATGATTTAAGGTTAGTACCGAGTGCTTTCCTTGTGGAAGCGGACGTTATACAAAAGTTATTTCACACGGGTTACATCATTGATATGAAACAATCTTTTAATGGAAGTAGCGCTATAAAAGTAAATTTGACGAATCAAATGGGGTTTAGTGTCTCGTCAACACAATCCTTGTGAGACAATATTTGGTCATTTGTAATTCTTTGGTTCCGTGTGGAAAACCAGGTAGGAGAATTTTGCTGGGACAGCGGCGTTTTTCCGCCAACTCTTCTTCGATTTCAAACTGTCAGGGTTTCTATTACTTGCAAACGAATGCAAACCTTGGATTTTCGTCCTATTAGAACGACCAGAAACATTTTCCTTGTCAGCTCGAGTGGGGCCACCACTGAGAAGTGAGGATCGGGCTGGAAAAATCTCAAAGGTTCTTTTTGGCCCATCCTAGGTTTCCAACTCTGGACTTTTTAGTAGACTAAATCACTCCCCTCCCACTCTGCAAACGGAAGGGAGTCCAATACCGATGCGAAGTGGTATAGTGTCATCATCATTATCGTATCTTTAATTGTCACGATTATATTACAATATGAAATCACTATTAGCTCTAATTTGCGAAGTGGTATAGTGTCATCACGATTATCGTATCTTTAATTGTCACAATTATATTACAATATGAAATCACTATTAGCTCCAAGTTCAATAGCTCCTTTGTGGACTTCCTTACTATGCTAACTGAAAACCATACTGTATTATAATAGTAACGAAGCTTAATCCTATGTGATTGTTGATAATACACACCCGGAAAACATACATTGGCGCACATGTCTTTGTTTAACCCGACTTCAAAAATATGACTTTGTCCACACCCTTTTCTATGGCCATCACAGATGCGACCACAGTTTCTGTCCATTATATGTACACCACAGACAAGCAGCTAACGCTGGTGTGATATACCGCGATGATAGTTCGATTGGACACAGGTTACATCAGATCGGTAAGAAAATGGCGATGACTTACTATTGATCATATTCATATGTTTGATAACAACAAGGATGGCACAAGAATGATTCCTTACTAGCAGGTCTGTGCATATGACAGGTTTCATGAACGTTGCAGTTGGCCAATATAATGCATGGAAATTTAACATGCTGGCGTGGATGAGGATGTAAT